AACCATCTCCCACCAACGACGAACAGTAAAAATAAAATGTTTTCTGAGCAAAGGAAGAAAAATAAACTTAAACATTAAATATCTTTCGATTTTAAATTAATGCATAATGAAGTGAGACAACAACYTAAGTAATGAAAGTAAGTTACCTCTTGAAATTATAGCGACTATGGTTGAGACCCCTCACAACATGTTCAAATCYTTTTTYCGATTTCATGATATAAATCAAGTGTTATTAATGACCATGCACACAAAACYTCGGGTTATCGTGAAAGCTCTAGAAAGAAACCCTTTAACTCTTCCATAGAAGGCAACTCACCTTCACAATCACATTAGTGCTTCATCAAGTCTATCATAGATAAATCACTTAGAATTGAACTATRAATACTTTAAACGTTATACATCAAGTTCATACAAATCACCCAAATAAAGGTCTATGGATTCTCACAGTGCATTAAAACATGACTGTATTATTCATCAAGTCCATACAGACCACTCAGATAAATGACTATGAATTTTCATAGTACATCACAAACATTAGGGCTTTAGTCTCGTATGTATTGAAGACTCAAGAATTATCCTCCTTGTTAAACCTCTAATCTACTAAGTTCTTCTCGGACATCACAAACTCCAAGGAGATAACTCCACATTTTAGCAATTATTTCACAGTTCCATTTTTCAAGTGTATATGCCTTCTCTTGCCGTTATATACAGATTTTTGCAATCCCTATGATAGTTTGTGAATCATAATGTAGGAATATTGATACAGATTTCCCTCACAATGATCTGTCTTAAAGRCCTTTTGGCTATTCAACAAATTTTGCTGAATTTCGTGAAATAACTCATCTACTTATAAGAACACATAATACACATTCGTTAGTGAAGCTCTACTCATTGTTATCTCTAAGATGCCCTAATAAACGATGAAGAGTAGTTAATGATCTTTAACATTAATAAACGATGAAGAGCAGTTCAATGGGCTTACCAAGATAGTAAGTATATCCATTCAGTCTACTCACAGCATATGAAATATCAGATTTAATATGTTTATTAAAAACATAACACTCCATTCAGTCTACTCACAGCATATGAAATATCGGATTTAATATGTTTATTAAAAACATAACACTACCTATAATTTTGCATATTCAAATTAAGATACAATATCACCAT